GGTGCAGGCTGGGCTGAGGGACACCTCTTCTCTACCCACTCTCCCCTGTGCATGAATTTTGTGTACTGGGTCTCTAATGATTAAATAAGATCCCTACTCACTGGTTGATTTTTCTACAATCATTAATTAAACATTGGCTCTCAGGAAGGCCCTGTGTTTATAGTGGGACATTCATATAAGCAGGACACACCCACCCATAAAATAATAGTCTAGAAACCATAGTCATATAAAGAAGCGGTTGAGGTATCTCATAAGACCTACAGAACAAGTAAAAGAAGGGGAGAAGTGCTGGGTTCCAGGGAACAACACTCAAGTGTAAATAGCCAAATCCAGGACATTTGGGGTTTTGGGGAACTGTGATTCCCTCAGTTGAAGTTCACTATAAGGAAGCCACTGCCAGGCTCCCAGACAGCATGTATTGAGGGATGAGAGAAAAGGCCAGAATGGAAAACTGCACTTAGCAATTATTTTGGGGATAGTGGATAATCCAGAGCAGTCTGCACTTCGGACAGGTAGATGTGTCCTACACTCTTGTCCCAATACACTTGAATACATTATACAAAGTATATGTTTTATATCCATCATCCACAAGGATTTCTGGATAATCTAGTGATATTCCTTTGAAGGGGTATCCAGAAGCTTCTAAGACTGACACTCTTTTCTCTGGCCATGGAATATCAGATCCACTCTATTAAATATTTTAATTAGATGATCTTGAGTGTAATTTGTACTTTTCTTACTAAAAATATCATGTCTTGTTTTTCTGCCTGGAAACCTCCTACTCATCCTTCAATCCCTTCTTTAATGCTCCCAGATGAAGTTAGTCACTGCTTCCTCTGGGGTTTACAGCAAATATTCATCGAGCCCCTGCTGGGTGCCAAAGACAGTGCCAGGTCTTAGGAGTACAAAAGGGATCAAGAGAGGAGTGGTCTTACCGAAACTGGTTTCGCTCAGTGGATAGAGCGTAGGTCTGTGGACTGAAAGGTCCCAGGTTCGATTTCAGTCAAGGGCATGTACCTTGGTTGTGGGCACGTCCCCAGTAGGGAGTGTGCAGGAGGCAGCTGATTGATGTTTCTAACTCTCTATTTCTCTCCCTTCCTCTCTGTAAAAAATCAATAAAATATTTTTTAAAAAGGACACAATTTTCAATATTTGTATAGCTTCTGGTGTTTTATTTTCCATCCCCCAAATATAAACATTTTCATCTATATTGTCTTATGGTTTTCTTTAGAAGTTTGTAAGTTGTTAATTGATCTGTAATTCTGATGTAAAGAGAGTAGAGATAATTTTTATTTTGTTTGCTTTTTTTACATGATTAACTAGCTCTCTCTACACTATTTATTTTTAAAATTAATTTTCCTCAAAACTTTTCTAAGGTGTAATCTGCTTTTATCATTTTTTCCAATTTCTACTTAACTCCAAGTTAATACTTAACTCACTTTCCTCATTGTGTTTAGTAACTTAAATTATTAATTTTATCTAAGTGCAGTGTTAATTCTATCTAAGTGCAGTGTTAGCTGCATCTGATGTTTTAATATTTAGATTTTAAAATTAATTTTAGATATTATGCCCCCAATTATGTTTTTAATTCCTTTATTTTTTAAAATTTATCTTTATTGTTAAGAATAATACAGATGTCCCCCATCTTTTCCCTCATTGTCCCCATCCACTGGGGTCATGCCCCACCCCAGGCCTTTACCACCCTATTGTCTGTATCCATGGGCTATGCATATATACATACAAGTTATTTGGTTAATCTTTCCCAGCCACCCCCTTTCCTCTGTGATCTGTCCTCTGTCCCATGCTTCCATGTCTCTGGATTTATTAAATTTCTTCATTAAAAAATATTCCATTGAATTTATTGGGGTGACATTGGTTAATAATTTTTTTTCTTGAGAACTTCTTTTTTTTCTTTATTGATTAAGGTATACATATGTGTCCTTATTGATTAAGGTATTACATATGTGTCCTTACCCCCCCAACACACACACACACACACACACACACACACACACACACACATACACCAACTCATGCCCTCACCTCCCCTGGCATCTGTGTCCATTGGTTAGGCTTATATGCATTTATACAAGTCCTTTGGTTGATCTCTCTCCCTTAACCCCACCTCCCCTGCCTTTCCTCTGAGGTTTGAATGTTTTTTTTGATGCTTCTCTGTCTCTGGATCTGTTTTTGTTCATCCATTTATCTTGTTCATTATATTCCACAAATGAGTGAGATCATGTGATATTTATCTTTCTTCATTTTTCCATTTTTAAATAACTGTTTGCACGCACTTTTTAAAATTCTACAAATGGTGGGAATTTTCTTTGTTCTTAGCTTTATTGAAGTGTGACTAAGGTATCACATTTGTATTAATTCTTTTTTTCAAAATACATTTGAATATGAATGCTCACAAATTTGCATGTCTTCATTGTTCAAGAGCCAGGCTAACTTTTATTTTCCCCCAGCTTCATTATAATGTAAGTACAAATGAAGAGCTATTTACCTCCTAAATTGTTACTTATAAGTTGCCATGGGTTAGGACATCCACAATAGGACATGTGGAATTCTTTTTTAAATTTCTTTATTGATTAAGGTATCACATATTTGTCCTCAACCCCTCATTTCAATCCCCCCCACCTCCCTATTGTCCTTGACCACTGGTTAGGCTCATATGTGTGCACATAAGTCCTTTGGTTAATCTCTCCCTTTTATCCCCACCCTCCCTTTGAGCTCCAACAGTCTGACCCATAGCTCCTTATCTCTGGATCTTATAGGGAAAGTGTTTCAGCATTATTTCACAAACTTTATGGCAAAAATGTTGGGTGTTCAGATGCCATTTGTCTCTTCATTTCTCATTATTGGTTCTGAGTTTCTTTAGAGCTGGATGTGTCACAGGATGCTAGGACTAACACTTCCTAACATACCTTTAGAGACATTTCATTTGAAGAATGTATCAACCAAGACCTCCAAGCTTACTCACAGGGTATTGGGATTTCTGGGGTCTCATCCTTCTCCATTACTCACTGACTATAGACACTCCTCTCTGTGTCTTTGAATCTCCCTCTTCACATGGTGGGGAAAATGTTCTGAGTTTGATTTTCTGTGGGGACATTCTAGGTGAGGCTAGAATGATGGCTGAAACAAAATGGACATGGAGAGTATAATGCTTCTATGCAGAGGTATAGAAACAAGTAAGGAGATCAATAAAAGGGGCCATCTACTTAGTCTCTCTCACTCTTGCACTGAGAGCAGGTTCATATGCATGCTTTGTAGGTCTGTAGATCATGGATGGGAGAGTGAAATAGTCAAAAGGTTGGATCATTACTTTAAGATTTAAAATCTGAGCTGAGCACACACTTTTTAAAATTCTACAAATGGTGGGAATTTTCTTTGTTCTTGGCTTTATTGAAGTGTGACTAAGGTATCCCATTTGTATTAATTCTTTTTTTCAACTTGAATGGTTAAGAAACCAGTCACACATTGTATGCTTTGCTGATATATTTATTGATCTATTTCCCCTTTACAGGTGATGGTGACAAAAAGCAGATGGAACCCCTTCCCTATCCCACCCCCAATAAAATACAGACACAGATTTCACTGAGCATATACAAGCATTGGGGCATGTCCAAATTTGACCTCACTGGGTTTTCAGAGCCAGGAGAGGTTGGATCTTGGGGGCAGTCTGAGCACCTGAGGCCCAGGAATTGAGCAGACCAAAGCTGAAGAGAAGCTGCTACTCTGGGCTCTGCCACTGGGGTGCCAACAGAGGCTATAGAATTGAATCATGGTGAACACAGATGCCTAGCCCTGTCATGTAGTCTAGAAACTGACAGTGGGCTCCTGGGTAGTTTCCAGTGAGATCCACAGTCCCATAGAAATCTGTGCCTCAGGGTTCTCATCTGCAAAATGGGGATAAGAATCCTGCCCTGAATCTTTCATAGGGCTATAATAAGGCTATCATAGAATAATTTTTCAAAAGTGTTTTTTTTTTTGCAAAAGGTAAAGTTCTGTATAAATTTAAGGGAATTCAATTGATTGTGATTGTAAGCATGCCCCAGCGATAAGAGTGGACTGGCTCATGGATCCAGGGGCCAAGGAAGTGGCAGAACGTCTATGCTGTGCCTTAGAGGGCACCAATCAATGCAAACAATGCCCACTGCAAAGCAGAGTTCCCTTCATTTCTTGGCCCTAGGAAGTCATCATGGCCTAGCACCTGGGTCGGGGCTGGGAAAGTCACTGGGGTAGTTACATTAAGAGTCACAGGGGTGAAAGAGGAAGGAGAAGGAGGCATATAAAGCAGGGGGTTATTACTATTATCACACAAAAATATAAACCCACTGTATGAAAGGCATTGAATTGGTAGTGCAGATGAATGACAGAGGCAGGGGTTGGGGAGGGAGCGGAAGGCATCACAGCAGCAGAGGAGGGATACTGTCCCAAAGAAGTTCAAGTGTTGGCTCTCCTTTTAAAGGGATAATGTCAATTTCTGTCTATCTGCAGGGAAAGGGTGGGCAGAGAAATAGAACCAATAATATAATAATCTCATCTAAGGATGGGAGATACACACACACCTTATTACACTGCTGCCCAGAATCTTAAAGTGTCAGAAACAGGCAAGCAGGTGGTCTGTGCACTTTGAGGCTGAGGCCAGATCTGGGCCTGGAGCACCACAAAGCCAGAATTAGAATTCTTGAAAAAAGTAGTGTTCGTCAACACTGTTGGGAGATAGCTAATCTGTTTATACTTGGGCATGACATTGGGAGGTGGTCACTGACAGCCTATAATTTTTAAGGCTGAACATAAACATCTCTATTCCCCTTAAGGAATAGAGAGATGAGCCATTTTACTCTAAACGGGCTGCCATGGAGATTTAGTGAATGGGGAGGAAAGACGTGTTCTAATTGCTCCTGCTGCTGCTTTCCCCCAATTCCCTTGGCAAGGGGTGAGGGACCTCCTGGGGAACTTGTGGGGTTACTCCATAGGGTACCAGCTGGTACCTACAGGTTAAAGCAAATAACCCAGTAGAGCACATTGACAATGAAGAAGGTCACTGGGAAAATAACTCGTGAGTAGTTATCCAGTTGGTAAATGTGGATGAAAAGGCGTCCCTGATGCCAAAAACTGCCATCACGACTGCTGACCACGCACAGGTACTTGCAGAGCCTGCAGCAGCTGCGATGGCGCTGGGTGAGATTCGGGTTGAGGGACTGTTGAGGTGGAGAAGATGGGCCATCCTCTTCATTATTCTCCTGACCAGTTCCCTCGATGTCCAATACAAAAATACCTTCCTGCTGTTGCTGTTGGGCTTGGATGCGGGGTGAGGTAAGGTCACGGGTACGGGTAGGAGGCTGAAATGACCGAGAAAGGGGAAATAGTAAAGAAAAGATGAACCAAGCCTCAGGGATTTCTAGAGATTCTGTCTTGGGCACACTTTTTTTGCCCCCTCCCCAAATTCCCACCATCACATTAGAAAGTTTATTCAACTCCCCATAATACTTCAGGTTACCTCGCCCCCCCCCCCCCCCACTCAAGGAGCTGGCTACTCATGTGCCATGAATTCTAGTGCCCTTACTTGCATGCTTCAATACTCCCAAACCATGCTACCACTCCCATACCCAGCTCATACATAGCGAAGTCTCGGAGAAGCACTGGGTCTCCTGTGGTTGTGGATCAGGAACTTAATCACAGCATACTCCACCAGAGCACATAAGCAAAAGAGGAAGCAAATAGCAGTGTAGACATCCAAGGCTGTCAAATAGGATTCACGCGGGAAATCCTTCTGGGTATAGGAACCCAATGTGGTTATGGATAGTACAGAGGTGAGGCCTGTTAAAGCACAGGAGTGGAGGTAGGCTTAGCTATGTATCCATATATCACACTGCTAAAAGGATCAGTGAGAAGGCAATTCTGTACCCAGGTGGATGCCCACTTTACCCACTTACCTATAGAGGTCCTGGCTGGAACAGATTCTTTCTTGATCCAAAAGGAAATCCAGGACATGATTGTGGTCATAAAAGAAGGGATATAGTTTTGAATAGTACTAAAGCCAAATCGCCTGGTTACATTAAAGACAAGCGTGAAGACCATGAAATCACCTGGAAAACATAAAAAAATACCACTTCATTACAGCATTGACATAAGAATCTTCCCCAGGCAGGACAAGCATATTAAAGGTCCCATTGTTCAGCCCATGGGATCCCCACCACAGTCCTAAGATAGAGGCATATTATTCCAGTGCCACCTACAGAGAATCAGAAGCCCAGAAAAGAGACACCCTGCAAGACCCTTTGTCAGTTAAGAGCTAAGCCAGGAGAAGAACCTTAATTGCTTCTTTCTTAGTTCACTGTTCCACACCCTACATCTGCCTTTCCAGGATGGCAGAAGAGTCAGATGAAAGTGAAAAATCAGCTAGCTCTCTAGATATTAGGACCACACAGCTAATGTCCAGATGTCTGACTGAGGCCTTTACGTCCACTGAATTGCCACATCTACTCTGCAGAATCACAGCTTTACACATGCACCACTGGCCCTTATTATATTTATTCTCAGCAAAAGAGCCAAGGGTGGTCTGTGAGATGGTGAAAAAAGCACAGAATCTATTAGGCCTCCTTCCCGTACATTCATATGCTGGTGAAATACCTTAGCACTGTTCTATTGATGGCCACAAAAAATCACTAGCCTAATTCCAAAACTCTGGTGGTTCCCTGTTCCAGAAGAGCTCCAGAATCAAGTTTACACTATGTACCTGACACCAATGGACTGACTGTCATCTTACATGTATATGCACATACCTCCATACCCTAAGCTAATCGTATCTATTCTCAGATTCCCTGCAATAGCTTGGAACCCTAAACTCCCTGTTCTTAATCTAGTACCATAACTCAAATTGAGAGTTTTGGAAAAACAGAAGAATTAGCTGAAAGTGAAAATTTTATTTAGTCCTCTAGATGTCAGATATATAGAGTATACACCCACAGGCTGCTGGGGTCTTGACATTCAGTTGGGCATCATGTCCTTGATGTTGGCTCTCTCCCTAGATGGTTGATGACTTCAATAGGACTTAATGACAACCTACCTCTCTAATTAGTATCTTCTATTGTACCATTCATGCTGCCCTCTACTATGACACATTCATCTCAAACACTGCATGCCCACCATGACTTCAGAAATGTGAGGGCTTTTCTGAACCCAAAACATCCCTTTTCTTTGTCAACATCACATTGGATGTATAATAGCTCAAATGTTGGCTCCTTAGTGAAGCTAAATTCCAACCCCCCCTACCTCAGTGATACTATAGAATTCCTCGGCCTTGAAACCCCTTTCAAACCTTTTCAGAGCTCCTTTGTGGCCTGGATCCTGCCATCATCTAAGCCTGGCACAACCTGGAACTTAGCACACACTCAGAAAGTCCTGCAGCTGCCTCACAATACCTTGTGCAGCAGACCAGAGCACTAACTTGGTCATGTGTCCTCCAATTTTGAAAAGTAGATCACCTGTCCAGTCTGACTGTGTTGGAGCTGAGTGAGAACAACAGCCTTTCCTACTCACCTTGGCAGCACTGACAATGAACAAGATTTCACAGAATGTTCTGAAAAAAGGCAAGGACATGTCCTGGGGTTAGTGGAATACTTGTGTCCGGACTAGTATTAATAGCTTTGGGGATAGAACTCCAGGGTTGTTGCAGGGACCACTCAGACTTGTCTCTGGCCAGAATGTATTTATTAAGTTCCTAGTTCTGTTGTCCTGGGGTCTTGACTAAAATTTAGCACAACCCTATTTAGCTATAATCACTCACACAAAAGTTTGCTGAGTGTATATATTCTTATTGCAAGAAGACTTATTATCTTACTGCCTTTTACTCTTTTTTATTTTATTTATTCCAGCCAAAGACGAATCTCTACTTGTCAACAGAAATTTATCTTTGAAGGCTGATAGAAAGATACTAATACACAACACTTTGTTATTTCTGAGTAATGCAGGAACATGAGTAAGGGAAAAACATAATGGAAATACCTGGGGCTAAGGAGCCAAAGCAAAATAAATAAATAAATAAATAAATAAATAAATAAATAAATAAATAAAATGTAGAGAAGTTTTCTGCTCTTATCTGCTTTGGTCAGACCCCCAGTTGGTCCCTGCACTGGCAGGGGAGCAGAATTAAAAAGATGGTGTCCAGAGGACTAGGACTAGAAGGATGAGTGAACCCAAAACTTTTAGTAACAAGGGAAGAAAAAGGAACTAGTGTTCTATAGCCTATACAAGAATATGACCCAAGGCTGCAACCATAATTCTGGCCCTTTAATCTTGACCTTGTGGGAAAGTAACTGGACTTACTGTAAACTCAATAATTTTAGGGGAAAGAACTAGATCCAATGGGTGAAAGTTCCAGAGACTCTCATTTCAGATAAACAAGGAGAGTTTTTTGATGGACAGAATTGTAAAGAGAAGGAAGAAACTCTTTCTCAAGAAAATGAGGTCCTAAGACAGGGGTGGGTAGATGGGTAGGAGGAGATTAACCAGAAAACTTACATGAGTATGTACCTAGCCCATGGACCCAGACAATAATGTGGTGAAGGCCTAGGAGGGGTGGGCGCCTGGTGGAGAAAAAAACAAACAAAGGGGACATCTGTAATACTATCAACAATAAAGACAAATTTAAAAGAAGAAAAGAAAGCAAAGTCCTAATCATAGGTAAAATTCCATCAGAGTCTCAACAGTAACTAGTGAGGGCTGGCTTTGCTCACTGGAGTCAAGGCTGGGATCTCTGAGAACCTTCTGGCTCTTCACCAAAGGTAGCCAAAGTAGCAAGGTATCACTGCTTTCTGAACTTTTAGGAGCCTAGTACTTAAGTTTAGTACTTATGGAGAGACTGCCCTTGAGGCGACTGGAAGTTGAAGAGTTTAGGATCAGTCCCAAAGATAACTGTGATACTGGAGAAACCATGGTTCCAGATCAACTAGTCTCTAGCAGAAGAAAAAGATACCCTCTTTTTTTTTTTTTTTCTTTCTTTGTAAGAACCCTTCTCTCTCCCAGGGAAGGCTGGTGCTTACCTATTGCCAATGCTTTAGTGATGATGTTGGCTCTGGGGCTTTGTAGTCACTAGGGTACCATTTTGAAACAATGCATAACTATCTACTAAACGGAACCACTAGTGACTTGAAAGCCCCTGGGCCTTGTCTCCTCTGCCACTTTTGATGATGGGTCCTACCTGTTTGGGGAAACTGAGATGCAGAAAGGCAAGAGGCAGGCCGATGGTTAGCTGACAGAAGATCAAGGATTCCAAGTCAAAAGTAGTAAAACTGCTTACCCAAAATTCCCAAAAAAAATGAAAGCATTTATAAGGCAGACCTCTTCCCCTACCTAGTATTGTGCAAGCAAAGCTCTAGCCAGATGAGCATGAGCTATCCCTCACCCAATGACTCAACAAGTAAAGCAAAAGCAGATTTCCTGCCTAGCCTCATGGACACAAAGCAAGATGCCTCCACGGCAAATGGTTGGTTGGTGAATGGCTTCATCCGCATTCTGAAGACGATGAGGGCAGTGCCTCCACTGCCCTGACTTCGTCAGTATGTGTGAAGAGGATTTCCAGGGCTGCTCTGGGAGCAACCCTGAGGAGGTCCCTTGGCTTCTTATTCAGATCACCTAGGAACACAAGCAAAGATGCTCACACCTCGTTGGAAGCTGAAGTATGAGACCCAGGACCCTCCCATCTGGTCCTTTTTAGGAACAAGATCAGAAAACCAGTGGTCACCACATACCCATGTTGAATTTACCATGAAGCCTTTGACAGAAATATGTGCTTGTCAGAGCTGCTCTTTTAAAATAAATGTCGATACTGCAGCCATTGTAGCTGCTGAAACTTCCTCCATACTACCCCAAACCTCACCTGGTTGACATTAGAATTCTAGCTTCTATCTTCTATTAGGAAAGTCTTTGATTCTCACTCAGCTGGCTTGGATTGGTTCTGGTTAAGGAGAACTCACACGAGCTATATTCCCAAAATAGTCATTCAAGTAGGTCAGTTGTAACAAAGACTTGAAACTGAATGGTCTGCATGACAAAGCTAGTTGCAAATTCTGACGATATAACTTTACTTACTTACCCTGTGCAGAGCTTGGCAAAGCACTTACTTCTTTGCAGATGAGACTGAGATGTAGTTACAAAGTCTCAGTTTCCTCTGCAAACAGTTGTAAGTGCTTAGCATTAACAAGACAGGAGCCATATTCTACAATATTTCCATGCCATGATTACATAGCATTTATATGTCTTATGGCTACCTCCACTCATCCCTACCACCCTCCTGGGACTCTGCTTAGCCCTTGTTCCAATGGGAACACTTACCGTCCATCATTGAGATAGTTTCGGTCTTATTGCTCACTCCTGTAAAGTCAAACTGTAAGAGCTTCCAGGAATTATTCTCATTGATGTCAAGCTTGAAATCTTTCCATTTGTACGTTATCTCATTCTTAGGATAGGAAACTGTAAAGCAATGTGGGAAGGAGGATCATGTGAGACTGGGAAGCCTTGTGGAGGTCTCCATCAGCATGGAGTCTGAACAATGCTTTGGAGTCCTGACTCTGGCCTCACCAGTGTGGCACCTTGCCTCTCTTACCTCATTATTGAAGTCCATTCAATAAGTGCTTTTATTGAGCATTCCTCAATACGAGGCCTTGTTCTGGAAATGCATAAGATGAATAAGGCAGGAACCGTGCCCCTCAAGCATTCTCATTTTATTGAGCCGGACAGTGAATATACACCTGTAATTCTTAAAGATGTTCTGAGAAACCTCTGCCCTTGGACAGTAGGGAGACAGAGGAGGAAAAATCACTTGGGAATAGCCGAAATCAGTTTGGCTCAGTGGATAGAGCGTCAGCTGCAAACTGAAAGGTCCCAGGTTCGATTCCGGTCAAAGGCATGTACCTTGGTTGCGGGCACATCCCCAGTAGGGGGTGTACAAGAGGCAGCTGATCGATGATTCTCTCTCATCAATGTTTCTAACTCTCTATCCCTCTCTCTTCCTCTCTGTAAAGAATCAATAAAATATATTTTTAAAAATCACTTGGGGATATATCCAGAAAAGACTTCTTAGAGTAGGTGATATTCCCAATAAGTCTTTAAAGTTAAATCAGTTTGTTTTTTTTATATGTATGAGGCTGAAAGGGTGAGGAGGGTATCTATTCACAGAGAGATAAACATATCTGATGTATTAGGAAATGCTAAAAGTTCATGATCGATAGCTAACAGATGTTAAATTAAGTATACAGGGGTAGATATCAGGGGCCAATTTGTGATGAGCCTTGAGGAACATTATAATGATTTGGAATTGGTACATGAGAGATAAAAAAAAGTATTTGAAACTAAGAAATGACTTGTTCTAAGTGATTCTTCAGCTAGGTCACTCTGGTCATAGTATGAAGATAGCTTGTTGACAGGGATACCAGTTATGGGAGGCCAGTACAGTAATCCAAGCATAATAAAATGAATGAAGGCAGGATTCAAAGCTCTGGCAGTGAAAATGCAGAGGGACAGACAGGATCAATAGTGATTTGGAAGAGAATATCAACACAATGTAATTAATTAGATGTAGCAGGTAAAGAATAAAGAAGCTTGAACAACTTAGTTGGTGATGATGTCTTTCAATGATAGGTGAGAACACAGAAGCACATTTGTTTTGGGGGTAGAGGTTGGGAATAGGCTATATATTTAGTTTTGGACATCTTCAGCTTCAAAGTGAAGATGTTGCAAAAGTCCAAGTGGAAGATGACAAATACCTATCCAAGTCAGTAACAGTGGAGATGGAAAGGAACATACATACATGAGATACACTTCAGTGGTGGATAACAGACTTGAGATGGAGTGAAAGGGAGAGAAAAGAACCCAACACGAGGCACAGGTTGAGCAATGCAGTATTGTCAGCAGGAAAGGAGATGAGCATGGATTGGGTAGTCCTGGGCAAGCCTGGCACCAACTTAGAAGAAATATAAAGGGAAAAGATGATAAAAAGGAGGATCCCGGTATGACTCTGGGGCCCCAGAAACCTAAGAAGGTACTCACAGCTAGAAAAAGACAGAGGGCAAGAGTGAGAATCCAGTGGATATTTGAACATGTGGAATGAACATCCAGCATCAATGGTCATCCTGGAAGTGAGAAAGAAGCCTCATTAGGCTGGCTCTGTACACTTACATATACACTAACTTAGGCCCAAGGACACCACCAATGAATGGCAACAGGGGGATCTGAGTCAAAAAGCTCAAAGGAAAGACAAAAAGACAGGAAAAACAGCTTGGAAGTATCTGGCTACTCTGGTCTCCATCATCAGAAAATTAAGTACTAAAGTAGATGGGCTTTTGTTTTTTGCTCATCCCAGCTTCCAGAAACTGCCAACACTTTTCCACTCTCTATCATCGCTCCACCCCCTACACCAGCCATTCACAACCTTCCCCTACCAGGCATTCAGGTACCCAACCTGGTCTTTACTATCTTTCTGACCACTGTGTCACTGCTCAACCTAGACAATTCCATCACTATGAATGTGTCTTTACATCGAGCACATCCCCTCTGGGTGAAATTGTCCAGGCAATGCAGCCATACTGATACATTCTAGTAGGAGAGCTCTGGACTTGGAGCTAGTAAATGGGTACCAGTTTCAGCTCTGCTAGACACTTGGTGTGACCTTAAGTACCATCTTTCTATTTTGAAGCTTTAGTGTCTATTATACATGAGGGGGTTGAGTTTGTGGTATCAGAAAGTTTGGAAAGGCCCTTAGAAGTATCATCAAGGATGAAACCTCTGTCCATGTTTATTTGGCAAAAAAGTCTCAAAAGAGGAGGAAGAGTCCCAAGGGATGAGATTTCAGAGGTTTGACATACCTATCTATGAACAACACTTTGCCATCCTTGTAGATGCGGGTCACCCTGCTGTGTGTAGTGATCGAATGTTCATCGATGTTCATAGAATTCTTAAAAAAGGTGTCTGGGATCCATAAATTTTTTGTCATGTTGCCATGCAGAACAAAGCTCTCAAAGCTGGCATTGTACCGAAGGCGTTCATCATACCAGGTCTGGTGTAAGGTGATGTCAATGGAGTACTTCTGATGGAAAAGATAAAATAAAGCCCATGGCATTCTGTAACAAGTTTATTAAGCAGATAGAAACCCACTTAGGTTTGCATAGAGCAGGGATGGGGAACCTTTTTCTTGTCTGCCAAAGGCCATTTGGATATTTATAACATCATTGATGAATCATACAAAATTATCAACTTAAAAATTAGTCTGCTCTATTTGGTCAAACATTTTTTTTTATTAACTCACCCCTAATGCCTTGGCAGGGCAAGAGCAAATGATTTCTCAGGCCTTTTATGGACTATGGATAGGATTTTCCCCACCCCTGGCATTAGAGGAAAATAGCATGAGATAGTTTGTGAACACACATAGTCTACTCTGAGTAGAGGAGCTAAACGAAACAAAACCAGAGTCCTGAGTTGGCTCCAGCCTTGAAGGACTCTAACTGAGAGAGTATGGGTTTAAAAGTCATGCTTTAAGCAGGGTCAGAATTGTAGGAGATACATGACTCAGGCTTAGGAGGCCAGGTTGATATGTGGATTGGGGTAGGCAGAAACCTTGGATTTTGTGTTCTTCAAGTGGGAAATAATGAAGGCTAACTGGGGCCAGAACCAACACTAGAATGATAGCATTAGAAAAGGAGAGAAGGAACCAGGGAAAAATTAGAGAAACAATCTTAGAGTGAGAGTTGCTAACCATAGTCTGAAATCCATAAAAATCATTTTCAGCTGAAACCAGTTTGACTCAGCGGATAGAGCGTCAGCCTGCGGACTGAAAGGTCCTAGGTTCGATTCTGGTCAAGGGCATGTACCTTGGTTGTGAGCACATCCCCAGTAGGGGGTGTGCAAGAGGCAGCTGATCGATGATTCTCTCTCATCAATGTTCATAACTCTCTATCCCTCTCTCTTCCTCTCTGTAAAAAATCAATAAAATATATTTAAAAAATCATTTTCAGAAGTAAAAAAAAAAAAAAAAAAGCCATTCCATTGCGGTATTTAAAGTTGCTTTATTATTTTTATTTTGAATGAAAGACTGGAAGATGTAGTCAGGATTCTGAAGGTCCTCTTCAGGCAGTGAGGGATTTATTTACCTTTCCCAGATTCCTTTTCAAGTCAGTGCTGGTTAAAATCTCTACCTCCAAACCCCCTGCCACCCTAAACTTGCATTACAGACACAAAGAGCAGAAAAAAGAAGTATGTGAAAGGCCTCATGGATCAACTCCCTAATTTAGGAGATACTGTATGTATTAAAGCTCAGTACTCACTGTGTCTGCGATAGAGATAGGACCAAAGTTGTTGACAAAGAGCTCAACAGTAATCTCAGTGGGTTTCTCTGCAAAGGAAGCAGAAGTATCAGAGGTAAGTTTCCTACAGTGGTATGTGACAGGGAAGGGTGTGGTCTGAGGGGGAAAAAAAGGGAGAAGAAGCAGGGTTAAACTAAATGGTTTCAACATCCAATCCTTTTCTTTATTCTTTCATGGCAAGAACCAATTCATAGACTGTTAAGAGTTATACATACCTCAAAGATCATTTCACCTATTTCAGTCATCTCATTTTATTGCTGGAAAAACGGGATGAGAGAAGGAAAAAGTCTAGACCAAGATAAATGGCATTGCTGAGCTATAGTTGACCTCTCTTACCTGAGAGGTGAGCAACAGATGTTCCTACCAACATTCTTGGCACCCTCACCAACACCCCGGTCTTATTTTCTATACTTATGCCCTCAAACTCACTCCCCTATGGGAGGGAAGAACTAAGTTCTATTACTTACCACCTATGCCAGGGCGCAGTTTGGAATCAGAATTCTTCAGGATACTGTCCAGGATTTGAGTGGCTTCTGCCATTTTTACAAGGTCATCTTGGGTATCAATAGGAGTGGCCTTTATTCTTTCAGAGGGAAGTTTCTTTTGGGGAGCCTGGGGCTTGGGGCCATAGACATCATTAGGATAAGTACATGGTTCCACCTCTGATTCAACATGAGTTCCTTCAATCCTAGAATACACAAACAAAAAATGAAGCTTTTCCCTTCAATCTGTAGGTGCCCCAGTAGGTACCTCTCTGGACAGAAGCAAACCAAAATAACCTGCAACGTAAGGCTAGTTAAAGAGTGATTAGCAACAGTAAATTATGAGCCAGTAACAGATTATACTTATATATTTCCTCTAAATCTTTCTGATTTTTGGAAATTTCCCATGCTATCCCTTTTTATGATCATTCTTTATTTTTTCAAAAATCAATATCAAAACTTAGCTCAATATTTTAAAATAATTTTTCAATGTAAAATGGTGAAGGCACTGATGTATGAACTCTAGCTGCAGTTGCTAGGCTTATCTCCAGTCTGCCTGACCAGCACCACCCAGGAGCAAATGGGCAGGCAGAGGGCCAGGACTTCTGGGGAATGCTCAGGAAAGCCAGAGAAACCTCTCCCAGAGAGGGTTGGAACACTGTGGGCATAGTCCACATTTCTTTGCTTTCCTGATACTCATTGCATTGGAGTTGGAGGCTGGGGGTTGGGGGAAACTCTAAGCATTGAGAAAGGGCAGAAGTCCTTCACCCAAAGACTGTCATCCAAGAAATAGATGGCCAGAAGAAATATGCCCTGAGAGCCACAACCATGCAACATAGCCAAGAAACTAAGGAGAAGAATAATTAAATTAAAACAAAAAATTTAAAAAGGCACCTGCCAATATATTTATTTAGTCAAGATTGTGCTACCTTGCTAAGGGGCAGTGAGGAAGGGGTTTCCAAGGGTCTTCACCTGATAATTTTCTATTTCCTAATGTGGGTGTCTTGATGTCAGTGTGGCAATTTTTGAACAACTAATGGGCTGTACACTTACAATTTGAGCACTTTTGTGAATACACGTGCTAATGCAATAAGAAGTTTTGAAAAATAAAAATGCTAATAAAATTGTTAATTTGTGGACCTTATTCAGACCCTGATCTTAAAAGGCAAACTAAAAAAACAAAACAAAAAAATATGACAAGATAGAGGCTATCTGAACACTGATTAGATAGTTTCTTCAGCATGAAGAAATTCTTCTAAAGTTTTTGGTGTAATCGTGGTATTTTATTATGTTTTTGAGGGCCTCATGACTAGAAATACATACTAAAACAATTACATATAAAAGATATAATGACTTAGAATATTTGTTTTTAAAATAATTTAAGCCGAAAATGGAGTTTGTTGGGTACAGAGAAAATAAAAGTGGCCATGAGTTGATAATGAGGCCGATGATGGGTACAAAGAAATTCACTCTACTGTTCCCTTACTTTTACATATCTTGGGAAAAAATATATAATAAAAAGCTTTTTGATAAGCTACGAGGAAAACTGATCTGTGATACTAGAAAACAGGAGAGTGGTTTCATTTGGGAGGGGTGAATATGTGGGGGGGCATGTAATGAGGGCTGTAGAGGGAGGAGGTGAAAGTGACTGGAATATTTTATTCCCTGGTTTAGTGGGGGTTACAATGGCATGTTTACTTTATGAATATGCCTTGAGCTGTTTGCTCAGATTTCTATATTTTCATATTTGTATATTACACCTTCAAAAAAATTTTCTTTTAAACTTTAGAAAATGTTTCCTATAAAAAGGGGTTAACAGGGCAGAAGATGTGGGCATGGCCTCTGTATTGCAGACCAAGGGACTGCCAATTTGAACACCAAAATGCATTTTCTTATACTATTTCAAGCTCTTAAAATGGCTTAAGTGGTGTACAGATGTGCCACATCTATGCCTTTTCTCATGAACAAAGTTGCTAATTCCCATTGTGGGCAAGGGGAGAACTGGGCTTAGGAAAAACAGTTTTCATTTCTAAATACCACATCCAGAGACGTCCCCTTTCCCTGAGGTTTTCTCTTAGTCCTCGAAATAGATAACACCAATCACTTTGGGAGGTGAGGAGGGAGAACAGGGGCTTGAGACCCCCTAAAATAAGTGACGTGGCCAGGAATATAGCACAATCAGGATTCGCACAGCCAGCCAAGACTATCCAAGAACCCGCAGCAGCCCCTCCCTGATGTCTGAAGCCAAAACTCAAAGAATCTGAGGTTCAAGAAGCAAATAAGCAAAAGCCGGGGATCACCAACCCCCACTCCCCTCTTGCTCATTCACTAGTCCAAAATGAAAATGATATCAGTGGAAGTTGATGTTGCTGTAATTTTACAATTATATTTAGCAGCAAACAAACAAAAACACTGGGATTCTTAGGGTTAAGGAGCTGCTGACAGGGCATACCTTTCCTCAGCCATTAAACCCCTTTTCGGGGCAAGAAAAAAACAAAAATTTGAAAAGCACTGGATTAGTGGAATCATCCCATGGGGCTTTTCACATCCCCCCCCCCTTTTTTTTTTTAAGACGTGATGGTCCAAGATGAGCTGAACTAGCTGGGATGAGGAAAGGGAATAGAAGGGTCACAGGTTTTTTTTGTTTTTGTTTTGTTTTGTTTGTTTTTTCAAAAATCAGCCCTCTTTTTCACCTTACAGATGGAAAAACTGAGGCTCAGATGAGGGGAGGGCTGTGCCTAAAGTCACACAATTAATTTGAGGCTTAGCCTGGACCAGAGCAAGTATTCCTGGTTTGCTGTGGCCCTTGCCAGCATACCCCTCTGCCCCCTCCCCAGCTCTTTGTTGAAGTCAGGGGTTGCCATGCTGACAAGGTTTGGATGTCAGTTACTACAGCCCTTCCCCCAGGATAGAAAGGTAGTTTCCATCTCAATAGCCCACCCTCCTGCTTGTTTCCCTCTCTATGTCCCCTCCATCCCTCCATCTTCTTTCCCTGCTCCCACCCCTCTTTTGCCCTAGCCAGTCATCACATCAGCTCTCCCACCCTGTCTATTTCACATCTGGATGGATGTGGATAACTGGAAATTCCTAGCACAAATTCAGAAATATTTTCCAAGCCTCTGCTGTCCTCACCCCCAAGTGAGGGCACCAGTGAGCCATACAGTCAGCCCCTCCCTCGAGGAACCAATGCATTCTAAGGTGAGAAAAGAAGCCATCTTCAATCTCCCCAACACAGACAATCAAGACACAAGCCCAGTGCCATGGAGAATTCAAGAATGCTAGGCAGATCGGAAAGCTTAGGGAAACGATAGTACGAAGTCAGCAAGAAACCCTCTAAAAAATATAAAGCACTTATCTTTCACCCTAAAAAGCCAGCAATTCAGGGAACATTCCTAGCAAAGTCCCAGGGGCAAGGCTACCTGCTGATAGCCTTTAGAAAGGTGAGGAGAGACTGAAATCCGGGACCCAAACCATACACCTCAGGGAATAGAATTCCTTGGTCTCTGGCTCCAGTCTGCCCAAGGACCAGCAGGGTGTGTGTGTGTGTGTGTGTGTGTGTGTGTGTGTGTGTGTGTGTGTGTTTTGGGGGAAGAGGAAGAAGGAAGAAGGGGAAACTAGCAGTAGAAAGGGTGGAGTGGATAGCTGGGGTGGGACCTTGGAACTAAATTGCTAGTGTAGAGGCAAGTAAAGTCAGAGTTCTCTAGCACCATGATTACCACTCTTAGGGGAGGTCGGGGCTCAGGGGGGGGGGAAAGATCGAGAAGGGAGACTGGCCAATAATCAACACTCAAACACTTTCTGCAACAGTTTTGCTTCCCCAGCCGCCCTCGTTTTTTTAGGAGCTATCTTCCCAAAGCTCCCCCCCACCCCACCCCAGCTCCCCCAGGACTCCCAGTTCCATTGCCCCTTGATTTTTAGAGGAGTTGTCTTCCCAAAGCCTCCCCCCCACCACCACCCTCACCCCCGCTCTCTCCGGACTCCCAATTCCATTGCCAAGACTGCTGTAACTGATAGCCCAACGCTCGCCTCTTCCCACGAAAGACTCTGAGAGCGAAGGCGTGCTGGCTCTCAACCACTGCACTGGTTTGGGGAGGGGGAGTCCAGCCACAGCAGCTGAGTGGGGGACAAGCATCCTGCCTTCGTTCCCAGATGCGCCCTTTCAGGGGTCTAAAGTGCCTGTCCTGGAAGATGCACAGGCTGAGGCTCAGGCTCAGGAGGGAGGCAAAGTGTGCGCGGCTCACCGGAGCCGGTCCCAGGGAGAGGGAGCTGGGCGCGAAAGGTTCCTGGATTCCGGGTTGGAGACTCACCTAGACGGCAGGAGTATGGGGGTGCTCAGGAGGATCAGGAGCACTTTGATAAACATCTTGCCAGAGACCGGAGCAACCACCTGTGTGGTGGTCGCTGCGAACTGTCTTGCAGCACCAAGGTCTCTCCTCTTGCCGCACCGAGCGCAGAGTGGTTATGTTGGGCTCCAACTTTCACTCCTCCCACTCCTGCCCGATTGGCTCCGCCTCGGCCCCGGTGGAAATCTCCTACCACGAGTTCGCTGCGGCTGCAGGGAGTGGAGGGGGCGGTCTGTGAGGGCTGCAGAAGGAGGAGGAGTGGGGGGGAGCCCTGTCGCTTAGGGGCCCCGCTCCCTTCTGCCTTCACCACTGCGGCACAGCCAGACTGCCAGGGGCGGGGATGCTGGTGAGCTGGAGACACTGAGGAGCCCCAGGCAGAAGAAAACAGTGGTCCAGGCTGCGGCTGCGATAAGGACAGCATGGACAGGTTCCTCAGTGGGCTTCTCCTTCTTCCATGAATCTCTCCAGCCCACTGACGCATTGCAGGCTGGAACTATGTCCTCCTGTCTTTGGCTTCCCACCACCACCTGTTGCAGCACATCATGCTCAAACAAAGCCTCTCTTCTGATATTTCCCACATCCTCACTCCACACCTTCCAGTCTTTCAGAGCACATGTCTTGGCAGCCTAGGAGCAACTAGGTTATTTTGCACCTTCCTTGACACAGGGGAAGGAGACTTGGGAATTTCCCTAGCAAGCTCTAGTATGAGCTACTATACCCATCAGTTTCTAAGAGGTCTAAGAGGTCTTTAAAACAGAAGGATCAGGCATTCACTGGAGGATTTTTGCAACGCTCCACAGAGATACTGACACACTAGCTTCTGGTTTAGCCTGGGGGCCTGGGTGTGAGATGGACCACCTGGAGTGGAGGGGCCTTGGAAATCCCTTCTGCAAGATCAGCTGAGAGTTGGCTCTAGGTGATGGGGGTCAATGTCGCCATTCAGGGGGCACATCTCAAGAGTCATAAGTATCATTGGGTTTATTTGTCTTGCGTAGATCCTCATGATTCACTTCAGATGGGAAAGAATTGCAGAGATTTGGGCATCAAGCTGATGTCAAATACTAGCAGCATCCTTACCTGTTGTTGCTCTAGAATGGGCTGTGTGCATCCCACTAAACCTGGTGGCTCACTGGAGAGACTTCGCTGTATTATGCTAGTTTAATACACCCTTTCTATCTCTCACCTCCATCCCATCACTCTCCTTGTTGTCTTCACAACACTGCTCACTCACTAATAATTTTCTTGGGCAATTCTTTGTGGGCTTGTTTACACTGGATTTCCCCTATTGGAGCAAGCTCAGTAACAAGTACAAAACAAAACAAATGTGATTGATTTTCTTCCACATATCTGAAACTTAGATGAGTTCTGGGTACACAGTAGGCACTCAACAAATATTTGGTATGTCCTTTATGCAGCTGTGCATCGTAGTGCCACTAAGTTCACTGTGATCTGGACTCCGTTCAGACTCTGCAAGAGAGAACACTTCAGGGAACATTCAGACCTCATGTGTGTATGCTTCCTAGCCTTGTGACAGGTCCAGTTTCATGGGTGTGAGACCTGTGCAATTCCACAGGCTCTGCATACAGGAGGGGCTATACTTTGTTTAATGACTTTCTGTTACCCTTTCAAAATTCTTAATATTTTTTGAACAAGTGATCTTGCATTTTTATTTTTCCCTGTGCCCTGTAAATTCCATATCCACTCTTGCCCTAGGGAGACATGCTGCAGATCAAAGAACAGGCAAACACAGAACATTCCTGAGTCTCCAAACAAAGAAAACTGTCTGGCCATCTGCCTGCCTTTCTGTCCAGCACCAGACTGCTGCAGAGAGGTACTTACTATAGCTAAGCTTGCACTTGAAGTGTCTTATATACATGTCTGTTCTTTCACACATTGGAGCTACAGAAGATGATTGTTCATCTAATTTACCTGTCTTCTCCTGGGTTGAGTTCAAAACCAGTGTTAGGTTTATTTGCTGAATGAGTGACTGAATCACAGGCAGCCAAGAGGCAAGTGGTTACAACTTCTTAATCAGAGGACCCAGGATACTTTTCTCTTAAGGGTTGAGATCATTCACACTTCCCAGTTCTCCAAGTATTTCACATGTTCTTGTCTGTGCTAGGCCCTGGAATTGGTGATGGAAGAATATACAGCAAGGCCTCAGACATGGAATTGGCTCCCACATTTGTGGTACAAGAGAGGAGAGTGAGCTTCTTTCAGAAAGTATTAACACAAAATATAAAGTTACAAATGCCCTGCCATTCCCAGAAAGATAGGACTGTCTCTAGTTGGCCAGTCCTGGAATCTGCATACAGGCTGAAGAAGGTTGTACTTCACATGGACTTGAGCTTGGCAGCAATCAGTAGGTTTCACAGGCAGAGTTTCAGAGATGGACATTCCAAACAGAAAGCCAGCCAAGGTGTTGAAATCAGAAATGTGTGGTGCTTGATAGAGAGCAAGGAGGGGTTTGCAGGGAGCACTTGTGAGAAGAAGTACTATCTTTATATATTATATATATAAAAGCCTAATATGTGAAGCGTCCCTCTGACCATTTGACTGACCAGTTGCTATGACGCACACTGACCACCAGGGGACAGATGTTCCAACCAGTAGGTTAACTTTCTGCTGGGGTCTGGCCAATTGGGACTGGGCGAGATGGGCAGGACATACTCTGGAGCCCTCCCACAGTCCTTCCCTGGCCCCGATCATGCACTGGTGGGGTCCCTCGGCCTGGCCTGCACCCTCTCATAATCTGGGATTCCTCTGGGAATGTCAGAGAGCCAGTTTTGGCCCAATCCCTGCAAACCAGGCTGAGGGACTCCATTGATTCATGAATCCATGCACTGGGCTCTAGTGGGAAACAAAGCTGGAAATAATCCATCTAGTGGGAGGATGGAAAGGCTAGTGCTAGGCCTTCAATGGCAGTCAAGAACTTGCACTTTATTCTGTAAGCAAAGGGGAAGTCACATAAGAGTGTTTAGCAAGTCAGAACTGATTTTTTTAGAAGACCCCTCTAGTGGAGGCAGGGAAGAATGCTTGCAGGAAAGAAAGACTACAACCTCTTTTCTCCCAAAGAAGAAGTTATACCAATCTGAATGAGAGCAGAGCCACAGGATAGTTGGAAAGGAGGGAGCAATCTCAAGGAGGTTTAATTGATGGCTCATTACATAGAGTGGGGGATGAGGCAAAGGAAAGAGGTTTGCTGGAGAAGAGGTAACCAGGGTGGCAGAACAAAATTATAGAAGGCAGGATGAGAGGGGAGAGTTTTAGTCACAGCTTATAGAATGATATCCTGCATTTTAGACTTCACTTCTTAATGTTCCAAGAACTTTCACATTTATTGTCTAGGTGTGTGTGTGTGTGTGTGTGTGTGTGTGTGTGTCCCCACTTCTCAATCCTAGGCTATTTGTACTTCAAATATGTCTTTCTTCAATGTGATATTCAAACTGGATATAAAGGTAAGCCAGAACTGAAGTGAATGGGGACAGTTAGGTTTCAGGACAGACAGACACACAGTGGAGGCTGAGGCAGCCAGCACAGTAAAGTGATGGGACCTTTGTGCTCCACTATAGGCAAGGCTGAGTTTGAATTACAGATCCTCCACTAGATACTGGCAAAATGGCCATGAGAAAACCAGTTAAAGCCCCTCTGAGCACCATGTTTTTCGTGTGTAGAATGGGAGTTATAATGCTTTTCACATGGCATTTGTGATTATTCAATGGCATAGTATATGTAAAGCATTTTGCACAATGTCTAGCACATGCTCAATATGTAACAAAACCTATGTGCCTTTCTAAGCATTACTTTTACTCAATAACTGATAAATAGCAGTGCTTGCACATCTGACATCCCTGAGATCTTGAATAGCACCTAGGAAGTATCTGACCAAGGAGCAAGAGCCCAGCTCCAGATTTACACTGTAGATCAAGGTTTTTATCCCAGAGAAGAATCCATCCAGAAGGTGGAAATGGAGTGGACAAAACAGACCCTTGACCACAGCAAACTAACCACTAAGCAAGCACCCCAGGCTTGTGGTACTCAGGTCCAGTCTACAAGTGAGAAGAGTGTCATGGCCAGGGATGAAGATTGAGAATCACCAGCACATGGGTGCTATTCAAATCCATGAAACTGGATATGGTCACCCAGGGAGAAAGAAGATTCCTGAAAGGGCTATCACAACAACCAATAGAAGAGAGAGATTTTTCTATTAGGATAGCAGGATTAATCAACAACATTCCAGTGAGATGAGAATTAAATGGTGCCCACTGAGATTATCAACAAGGAAGTCATTGATGAGCTTGGTACCAGCTGTTACAGAGGAGAAGGTGGGTTGGGAGACCAGTTCACAGAAGACTGAGGAGTGCAAGTGCTGGACATTGGGTGCCATTTAGCACCAGTGGTCTTGATCTGGCATCTAGAAGGGTTCTGGAAACCTGGAGAAGGGGCTGTGGGTAAATTAATAAAGAGTCCAGAGATGAAACATAATTTTGAAAGGCATATTGGGAGGGGGGAACAGAGGAGCTTGGCTGAAGAAACCAAATTTCCCTTGTCTCAGAACCCCTTGCTTATTATTAACATAATTTGTCCTAAGGCAAGGTAGAGATATACACATCAAAGGCCAGGGTTAGTCTACAGAGTCCATTGTCAGATTGGGGAATTGCCTTTGGCTGTTCAGATGTTTGGCCAAAAGGAGGCAATAACATGTAGATTAAGATGCCCTAAATTGTCTGGCAGCAATCAATCATCCTTTTCAGGTTTGGGAAAATTCTTTTAGCCATTCCCAGCAGGCAATAACATATGTGACTAAGCCCTTGTTGAGTCCCCAAATTCCATCAACCTTTTGATGAAACTCTTGCAATTATGACATGATGGAACCGGCTTCTGGCATACAAAAGAAGAGCTGTGAGAGAAAGGAGACTCTGAATATAGACAGCTTATCTGAGAAGTCTGGCTGGAAAGCAGGAAGAACTGTCATTGTCTTCCAGATCAAGTGTGGAGATGGGGGCTTAATTCAGGGGCC